GCCATGCTGACTCACTGTTTAAGAGTTTGGCTGCTAGATATAAGGTTGTTGGTTCGAGTCAATCATCTGCTCTGAGGGAGGATTGCATGGCGGTCTGCTTCTGAAAACATTCACCGCTTTAGAAATCCTGTGAAGCAGTTCCACCTTACCGAACGGGGTCTGTATGAGTCAGACAATTGACTCAATAGCCATGCACTCAGTCTGGTTTCTTGTTTTCAATCGCTATTTCTTATACTCACAGAAGTTGTAGACAACTTGATTATCTACCTTTGCTGTCATCTTTAAGGATGCTATAACTAAAACCATATGAGTAAACAACAAAAATTAAACCCACGGTTGTCAATTCATTGCCACCTCCTGGAGACCTTCCGTTGGTTTCTGAAGCTGTAAATCTTAGTGGGAGGATAAAGCTGTGGAAAGATACAGATGTGATAACTAAAGGATGGGTCTTTTCTGTGACCTGCCCACCAAAATAAACCCCACTGCTGGTGAGTCACTTCTGACTCATGGTCAGTAGAGGATTGAGTAGAAATGCCCCAGAGGGTTTCCAAGGCTGTGGATCTTTGTGGAAACAGATGGCCTCTTTTTTTTCCCACAAAGTGGCTAGTGTGTTTAAACTGCCAACCATTTGGCTAGCAGCTTAACACTTAGCCCAGTACACTATTAGGACTCTTCCAACTTGCCCAGGCCCGGATCATCGCTTTCTGCTTTCACCATGGCCACTCCGGACGACATTCCTGTTTTATTCATCTGTCTCATTGGTTTCAGAATAATTGTTTCTCTCTGGAATAGCTTGACCAAGGATAGTTTTAAACTATATAGAATTCAAGCACAGCTTTTATGTCTGAAAAATATCCTTTTCCCCCACTTTTTAAATGTTTATTATTAATTTTAATAAAAATTTAGATATTTTGGATTTCCATTCATTCACTGTTGCACTTAGGAGACAGTTCACCTGTAAGAGTTAGTTCTGACTGTCTCATAGTGAGCCCAGGTTTGTCAAAGGAGCACTTAAGATTTTCAGTGATGTTTTGGAATCCTGCTTCTGTTTGTTGTGTTTTGCTTTGTGCAGCCTCACAGATGGTGCTAGAATATTTGATGTGAGAGTTTTTTGTTTGATTGTTTGTTTTTTGTTTCAAAAACTGTGGCAGCCCTGCATTGCCAAACAAGTCTGTTAATGTCATTTTGCCAACAGCATATGCTCACGCCATGTCTTCATCACATTTGGATAATTCTTAAAGTGTTTTCCAGTTTTTCCTAATGCTGTTTCATAGGGGGCCCTGGTAGCCTAGGGGATAAGTAGTTGCACTGCCAACCCAAGGCAGGCAGTTTGAATCCACCAGCTGCTTTGCAAGGGAAAGATAGGCCATCTCCTCCTGTGCTGTTGACAGCCACTGAAAACTCCCTGAGGGACAGTTATGAGTCTGTTCCAACTCAATGGTACATAACAACAACACTGCATATTTAATTGTTGTTGTTAAGTGCGGTCGAGTCGCAGGCGACTCAAAGCGCCCCTATGAAGGAGAGTCCTTGATGCTTGGGTGCCTTTCATCCTCTCTCCAGGTTTATAGGGTTTCCGGAGGCAAGCTATTACGGAAGTGGATGCCACTCCTCCTTCCAAGCTTGTTTTATTTGAAGAGCTCCACCCCACTCTCTGTCCACATTGGGTAGCCAACCATTAATGCATTGGCATATTTAATAGACTTACCAAAAACTAAATACCAAACCCATTTTGAAGGAGTCAATTCTGACTCACAACAACCCTCTTTTTTGTATCCAAGGCTAGACATCTTTGTGGGGATTATTTATCTTTTCCCCACAGCACAGCTGCTGTATTTGAACCACTAACTCTTTGGTTAGTAGAGACATATTGTATTATGCCACCAAGACTCCTTTAGTAGATCGCAGTATAGAGTAAATATAATCTTCATATGCACTGGGAAACGAACAAACCATTCTGATGCTTTGCTTTATTTCAATATCCACTTTATTTCGGAGCCTAGAATATCTCTGAGTCATGCCTGTAGATCACCAGGGTCTCCTCTCAGGTGCCTACCTATAGACTTGAAGTTCAGACTTTCAGTGAGCTCCCCAGCACGTTACCTCACTGCACCATCCCAGAAGTGTGAGAGAAGGGGTGAAGTGCCAAGTCACCCCCTTGCACACTTGGCAGATGAGCTCAACATGATCCTCCAAGTGCCATTGCTTGCCCACTGTGCTCTGCGGTGTGCATAAGTTGACACAAGTTGCACATGTGCTGGCCTTCTTCTTCCACAGCTTCTGAGTCAGAATCCCAGGTCACTCTTAGGATGTTTGATGTTTAAGTTAGGAGACAAACCCCAGTGCATAACACAGCATGTAGGATAAGTAACCAGGCTTGGTGCATGAGCTCTTCGGGAACACACTCCCTTGAACAGTGGCTCTTTCATGCATGTTGACTGTATGGAACCTGACTGACACCTTGGGGGGCCCTCTTTCCACTGACTCATAATTCTCAACTCTTGGAAAAGATTTCTGTATGCCCAGTATTCTCTAGTTAAAGCTGAAAATTCAACTCATCATATTTACACAATAAGAAAAAAAATCCATTCTGCCTTGTTTTTAATTGCAAATTCGACTCCGGGGACTAGTTCGCCTGCTTAGGAGGCAGCCCCGTGCCTTCTTCTAGAGAGGCAAGTGCAGTCAATTATGGTAATGAAATGTCAATAAATATAAAAATTTAATACAGTCTGCTCTGGGTGAGTGGCAGATGAGGACTTGCCTCCTAGACAAATTTGCTGCGGCTGCAAATATTAAATGCGCCTAAAAGAGTATCTGGTTGTCTGAAAGCTTGCCAGTTAAAAAAAGGGAGGCAGCATCAGGTACCAACTGGGCTTCCCCATTACGCTGTAATCACCGCAGCCTAGTCCGTGCTATCGCTGACAGCCACCCCAATATCTTAACTTCATCCTATAAAAGGATCTTACATCCTTGTGGAGAAGCTAAGATCAGTACTGCACCGTGATTTGTTTTCCTAATGCAGAGAAAAGTCTTTGTTTCATTTTCTAGGCCAAGAAATTTTATTTCTTCTAAACTGGGTCATTGCTGTCTTTAGAGAAAAATATCTTCATAATCATTTGAAAAGATGGGGTGTTTTTTATCGTTCTTACGTGCCATTGAATTGGTCGATGCCAATTCACTGACATTCCAGTAGGTTTTCAGAGGCTGCAAATCACATGAGAAGAGATTGCCCATCTTTCTCCCATGGGGTAGCTGGAGGATTTGAACTGTATCATTCAGGATGACGTCACAAGTCCTTATGACTAGGCCACCAGAGCTCCCTATAACATCCACAAGCATGCACTGGTGCTGGAGAAGAGTACTGAATATACCATGGACAGCTAGGAGAACAAACAGGTCTGTCTTAAAGAGAGTGAATCAAGCTGCTTCTTGGAGGCAAGGATTCTGAAGCTCTGTCTCACATACTTTGGGCATGTAGCAAGGCGGGACCAGTCCTTGGAGAGGGACATCATGTTTTGAAGGGTAGGGTGCAATAGAGGAAGACCCTGGATGAGCTGGATTGACTCAGTGACTGGGGCAATGGGGGTAGGTGTGTTGGAGACAATGAGGTTGGCATGGGATAGAGCACGATTTAGGGCTGTTGTACGTAGGGTTGGTATGAGTCACAAGTGACTCAATAGCACATAACAACAACTTCAATAACAATCCAGATAAAGAGGTCTGACAGGATAGTAGGGAGCTCTGGCGGCTTAGTGGTAAGTAATTGCACTGCCAATTCAAGCAGTTCAAATCCACCAGCTACTCTTCATATAAAGTTGGACAATCTCCACTCGTGTGACTTACAGCCTCTGAAAACCCAGAGGATTGGTGGATGGAGGGGGAGTGGGTAAAGGAAATGGGAAAGATCCCATAGGGATCTGGAAAGACAGGACAGTGGTGGGCATAGTTCAATACTGATTAATTTTTTTAAATATAATTAATCTGAATAATTGTATGAAACACAATGAGAATGAAGAATACTGTGAAACACTATGTATACAAACTTAAAAAGCAAATAATATAAAAATTTTTTTAAGTAAAAATAAAAAAATCCATTGGAGAGTCAGCTATGAGTCAATCCCTACTCAATAGCAATGAGTTGTTGTTTTTGTTTTTATAGTGCATTACATGTTGTTCTGCTATCCAAAAGGTTGGTGGTTCAATTCCACTAGCCACTCTGAGGGAGCCATATAAGGCAGTCTCTTCTCATAAAGATTTATAGCCTCAGAAATTCCTGAAAACCCAACTGAGGGTTACCATGAGTTGGAATCAATTCAAAGGCAGTGGATTGGATGGGATTTATCCAACGAAATGTATCTTGTCTTTCATTGTCCTCATGTACTAGTTACTGCATACACGGAGTACTGTTGTGGATTGACGTTTTGTGGACAGGGTATTTTTATATGGTGCTCCCAGAGGTGGTGCAAATGATTTACACAGATGGATGCTAACTGAAAGGTCGGAGGTTCAAGGTCACACAGTGGCACCTTGGGCGAGGGAACCTCCAAACCTATCTATAGAAAAAATAAAAAAGCAGACATTGAAAATCCTATCCTATGGAGCACAGTTGCTTAACACGTAAGTTGGAATCTGCTTAATAGCAACTGCATTTTGGGGGTGGGGGTGAGGGAAATTGCTTTTCATTAAAATTGTTCATGGGAACTAATACTTTCAGTCATATGATAATATACATTCATAATAGAAGAATGAATGTATCCTTGTAAAGTTTTGGTGGTCTAAACCTGCTCTTTACAAGGCTTCTCAAAATTATTAGATGTAGCAGAACAATTGAGATACATTTTGTAACAAAAAAGAAAAAAAAATTACTCAACTTCCCTGGGAAACTCGCATCTGTTACCAGGTTTGGACAGGAATCAAATTTTATCCACAGTTCTTAAGAACCTCAAGTGGAATGTGTTTATGATCCTAAGAGTCATGAAAACTGTGATTGTGTGTTGCAGGTGGACTATTCCATAATAGCATCGCAAGCCGGGGCCACCCTCAACAATCTCCTGAGTCACGCACAGGAGTTAGTGGCAAAGCTTCGCTCGCTACAGTTTGATCAACGAGAGTTTGTGTGTCTGAAATTCTTGGTGCTGTTTAGTTTAGGTAAGGACTCCTTTTTCTCATACTATGTACAGCCAAAGATTACTAACAGATGTCAAACTCCAAATGTCTTGAAGTCAGTACTGCAGTTGTGTGGTTTGTTTTTCTTTTTTTTAAAAAAACAAAACAACCAAACCCAACAACAACACGAGCATCATATGCATATGAAAATAGTGCTTAGTGGGGCAGTTTGAGGTTGACAAAAACATAAACCGTGCATGTTAATTTTGTAAAAGTGCTATATATATATATTTTTTTTTTGTTCTACTAAGATTATGCCTTTCCTTTCAAATAATGAAATTGTCAAGCATGGGCTTGTTTTCCTATGTGTTTCCATATGATTCATAGCCATTTGGATAATGGGTTGGAGATATGGAAATACTATGTTGGATGGAGTCTGTATTTTCTTACATAAAATACAAGTGAGCCACAGTCACCCTGACAGGCTTAATGGACCCAGTTGAGGAAAAAGAGAGAGAAACAAATTTTAGCCAGGTTCTCTCTCACTGAATATTTCTATGAACCTTTTGTTTCATCTTGCTACCTACTTCTGTTTGTGTTCATCGAGCTGGAGATATTAATTGAAAACCTGTTTCTTAAACCTCTCTCAGGATTAACTTGAGAATGTTTATAAGCAGATGCATAACTGTGCTGGTATAAAAGATGGTGGTTGTCATTGGGAAAGGGTGCTTCTCCAGGAAAGCTTTGGAGAAGAAAGACAAACTCTAAGACAGATTAGCTAAATCAAGGTTCTCAATGAATCAGTTGAGAAAAATCGCCACTGCTTAGAATAAAAAAGGGATTAAGGAGATGGATTTTTATTGACTTCAAAGGAACAGATTTTTCTGCCTGTCCCCTACTTGATTTCTACATTTCGTTGGCTTAATAAAGCCAACTTAAATAAACTTTTTGCCAAGTCCATTTTTCACTTATTGGCAGCAAGCTGAAGGAGGCAATGTCCCTTGAATGAGAAAAATGTAGAAATCAGACTTACCACCATATGTTTTTTCTTTAGTCTTCAGTTAAAAGATAGTTGTGAATTCATATTCTCCGAAATAAAACAATAAAACAAACTGCAAAGTAAAACAGATGTGTCTGGTCTCCAAATTTGGTGTTTTCATTTCCAAATTCTTCCTGACAGCACTGCACAACTGTTGCTAATAAAGGAATAGTTTGAAGTAATATAACCAGAGTTAATTTTTCACATGTAGTCAACATTTAAAATAAAGAGAACATTTTCATAGTTTGGAAAACGTGATAAATATAGCCAAAAGAAATGTTACTGAAAATTCAAAAAGACAACAGAATTTTCTAGATGTAGTGTTCAAAGGCTGACAATGCCAGGACTGGATCCTGTGTGGTTTCCACATTAACCACAATAAGTAGGAATGCTCCATGCAAGTCTCCGTCTTTGATCCACGTACAGTTTTTATAAAGTTGTGTGGACAATAATTGTTGGCCTGCTTGCTGTAATCTCACAAATTATTCTGGTTTAAGGCAAGATCTTAGTCTTTTCAAGCCGCGCATTTGATCAGTAATTAAGTGAAAATGTGATAATATATGTATGAAAAAGCTTATAGCATCTTAGTGATAAAATATTTAAAGAGAGTTATCTTACATCAATGGTATTTTAAATTAGTTGCATAACCGTCTCACATTTGAAGATGTACACATGAACCCTGAGCCATGTTTGGTTTCCATCACTTTCATCTTTCCTTCAAATCATTTGGACTCATTTTACAAAATTCGATTCTCGGTCAGTTCTGTAGGGGGTTGAGGGAGACCATGGGATCGGCATTGGAGGTGCTTTCAGCTGTTGGCCCTCACAAGGTGTCTTCCTGAGCAACTGGGCCATGCATTGACTACAACCTCAGCAGTACACCTCTTGTTTACTGAGTGTATCAGCCACATCAGGAGCCTAGAATTCTTAGGAAATAACCCAAAAAAACCCACTACCATTGTGTTGATTCTATTTGATTCCAACTCCCGGAAACCATCCTTTGGATTTCTGTGGCTTTAAGACTTCATGGGATGAGACTGCCTCTCTTTCTCATGCAAAATGATGAGTGGCTTTGAACCGTCAATCATTCTAGTAACAGCCCAGGGCATGGCATATTTATATCACCTAGTTATTCCTTAAGACCATGTCTGTGGATTATTTAAGACAGGAAGGAAAGCGTGGTTTTTAGAGGAAAGAGAAAATACTGTTTGGCCAATATTTACAATGAAGCATAAAGAAGGCAATTTACAGTGAAGTTTAGCTGCTTTTCAATGAACAGAAATGGAAAACTTCTTTTCTTCACAGAAACAATGGGCGATATTTCTTTTTTTTTTCTCCCTTTACAAATAAATATGTGGATAGTCTCACTGTAGGCGTCAGCCTAGCCCCTTAAATAACAGTTTTATCTGTGATGGAAATGAAATTGTAACAGCCACTCTTGAAAGTTGAGCTCAGGTCTCACTCTAGTATTCAATTCATTGCTATCAAATCAGACTGACTTGTAGCTGCCCCTCCAGTGGGTTTCCAGCGCTGTAAAATGGCATGGTACAAAACTGCCCATATTTCTCCCTCAGGGTCACAAGTGGATTTGAGCCACTTGTGAGGTGTGGTCTTTGGATTAGCAGCCCAGGAGGTTCCAAACCCTCATGAATTTGAAACGTCTGCAACTGAAAGTCAGCCTAAGCTGAGCCCTGTTCAGTGCACCCTTATGGCTTGCTAAGCATGGAGAAAAAGATATGAAGGTGTAGGGCCTGGGTATGTGGAGAGAAAGTTGCTGTGATGTTGTCACAGGAAGAATGAAAGGAGGAGTGTTTGTGTGAGCCTAGAGGCGGATCTCAGGTATGGCAGGTGCCCTGGGCACGTGAGGAGGGGCCAGTGAGCTGCTTTTGTTCCCATCTCAGTTTCACTGCAAGCTGGGAGAGGTTGTGCAGCAATTTCAAACTCATTTTTATGCCTGTGGAAAGTGGAGGGGTCAAGGCTGGAAACCCCAGGGGTTAAGGAGGTTTTAGTACTCCAGACGCTGTGAAGGACCAAGTGATGGGGCAGGAAGGAGGCAGGGATCTGAACAGGTCCTAGAGTGCAGTCAACGGAACGGTATCAAGTGGAGTGGAACGTGTTTGTGTTGAGTGTCAGATCCCTGGGTGCTTTAGCCGAAAGAGTATACTCTATGGCAGCAGCTGCTAGTGACTGAGGCCAATCAAATCCCGTGACCACCTCCCTCCTCTCTTATTCACTAAGTCTGATCCAGGAGCTCAGGGGGCAGAATCCTGACAGGGTTGTGCTGTTGATCCTAAGGCAACTCAAATCCACTAACTGCTTTGCAGCAGAAAAAAAAAATGTGCAATTTGCAACCTCAGAAACTTAACAGAGGGTCAAAGCAGATTTCATAAATCAGGTTGGACTCAACAGCAATGAGGGGTTTTGTGGTTTGTTTTGTTTTGTGTGTGTTTTTTTGTTTTGTTTTTTGTTTTTTGGTTTTTTGTTGTTTTTTTGTTTTTTTGGTTTTTTTAGCAAAATGACACCATGAGCAGCTAGTGATAGGAGATTAAAAAGTAAATAGGAGTAACTAACTACAATTTTTGCCTTCTTTCCCCCCTATCTCTGGGCAAACTACAGTTAGTTGATAAGGAAAACAATAGCTAGTTAAAACAATTGTTCTTGGTTTTCTTGTCTTATTTTATTTGGGGCAGTGGGAGTTAAACAAAATGAAAAGTAGAAAAATATTCTCTCAGTATTTCTTTCCATATGTTGATGTGATATAGTCTGAAGGTCCAATCAATCTCTGTTTGTTGCAATGTTTTCTTAAAATCCTATTTCATTACTGTTATGTGGGTATGTGTATGGGTGTTTCCCCTAACTAAAAAATAATATAATTTGAGCCCGTTGATGACTTGGCAGATAAGGAGAGAATGTTGAGGACTCTAGAGACACCAGAATAAAATGTTAATGTTTATTTACTGGTCTGTACCCCTGTCTTCTAAAAAGAAGTCAAAACAGCTGATGGAAGGAGATTTGCTCTCTGTCACCAACGAGTGCAGAAATTAATTCACAATGGAAGGATTGTGCCCCTCAAATAATATCTCCTTGGCATGTATTCCAAAGACAAATAGAATTCCCACAAGCTCTAGGTCCTGAAAAGAAATATAGAACTGGGAAGTGATCACTGGGTTTTCAGTTGCTACATCCTGAGTAAATGTCATTACACATTCAAACCCACAAGGAATATTATTGTGCCAGCTAAGATGTTCGTCTGGCCTTTGGGCTTTCTTTGGTTTAGAGATTCAATGACTGGGTGCTGCCGGACCTGGTTCTATCTTACGTGGTGAGAGAAAGTATTAGTGGCACATTGTATCCCTTTTCTCTTAATGAATGCCCTTAATTTGCTTCAGTTATCCCCTTCCTGAAGCAGCCAGTATTTGTGAAAGCACTTCTAATATTTAGCTGAGTTGAAGAGAGTATTATTCCTTTTGAGAGATTTCACCCAGATTAAGAAGAAGCTACTAGCTTCATGTCTTTTTAAGTTTGGGCTCTGTCCACTGAGATGGAAAGAGGGCATGTTCTGGAAGGGTATGTGAATTCCATGCTTGGTGCAGGGTAGGTACTTATACAACCTTTAAAGGTGGAATGCCTATTATTACCCCATCATTTCAAGTCCCCATTGGGTCTTTCCAATTCTTTTATCCCCCTCCCCATCTGCGCACTGAACTCTGCTTCTTGTTATTGTTGTATGCCGTTGAGTTGGAACCAACCCATAGCTAACCATCCAGCAGGATTTCAGAGGCTTTAAATCCCACAGGAGGAGATTGCCCATCCCTCTCCCTAATAATAGCCATAGATCAATAGTAATTAATTTTATAAAATACAATGTATATGACTGACAAAAGGTAAAATGAGTAGGCACATGGACTGACTTAGTTTTGAACTTGAAGCAAAGACACAACCAGTTTGTGACATGTCATGTTGTTTGATGTCATTGAGTCAGCTTCAATCCATTACATCTGTA